TGGCTTGGCCTTTTGTTTTCTTAATAAAATCATTTGAAAGAAAAAAAAAATGTAAAAATTCTGAAGTCCGAGTTGCCAGTTAGTTGTGCCTTTCTTGCTGAATCTATGAACTCCTTGTCAATTCAAGGTTGTCAGGGCTTTTTTCTGTTTTCCATGCTAAGAGCTTTATAAGCTTGTCTCTTATCCTTTTATCTGTGATCCGTTTTAAATTTGGAAATAAAAAAGAATGTAGTTTTTTTTTTCATCTTTGGGGGCCTGCTACCCAGCTCTCAAAAAATAAATACACGAAAACTTATTCTTACTTATAAATGCTTGGCCTTAGCTTGGCTTCTTTTTTTTCCTTTTTCCCTTTTGATTTTTCAAGACAGGGTTTCTCTGTATTGCTTTGGAGCCTGTCCTGGAACTTGCTCGTAGACCAGTCTGGCCTCAAACTCACAGAGATCCGCCTGCCTCTGCCTTCTGAGTGCTGGGATTAAAGGCGTGCACCATCAATGCCAGGCAGCTTGGCTTGGTTCTAACCAGCTTTTCTAACTTAAATTATACAATTTATCCTTAACTATAGTTTGCCTCTGTGCTTTTTTCCCTTCTTTATTCTATATTGGTTCTTTCCTTCCTACTCTGGGCGGCTGGGCAGCTGGGCGGCTGGGCGGCTGGGCGGCTGGCCCCTGGTGGCCTCTTCTCCTTCTCCTCTTGCTCCTAGCTCTTCCCCTTCTCCCTCTCTAGCCTACATCTCTCTTCCTATCTAGTCTCTTTGCCTGTCAGCTCCTCCTATCCTTTCCCCTGCCTAGCTATTGGCCATTCAGTTCTTTATTAGACCAGACAGGTAAAGTAACACAGCTATACAGGGTTAAACAAATACAACATAAAAGAATGCATCACATGTTTGCATCATTAAACAAATACTCCGCAACATAAACGAACGTACACATCTTAAACTAATATTCCACAACAAAAGAGTTCAACTTCAATTAAAAACAAACAGCTAACACACTTTAAAAGCAACCCTCCCTTTTTGGTGGTTTCAGCACAGGGCTTAGCACCCTGGCTGTGTCTTCAGCCTCTAGTACATTAGAAGAGGGACACTATATTTCAGTGCAGTTTTAGATTTACAGGGAAATACTGAGGCAAACTTGCAGTTTTCCTGGAGTTAATCTCCGCAGTTTCCACTGTATTATAGTTTTCTTCCATCTCTGTGGTAAATCCCCTGATTAAGAGCAACTCAGGGAAGAGAGGGCTTATTTCCTGTTATACTTCCCAGGAAAGGGGGAATTCAAGGGATAGGGAATTCAAGACAGGAACTGGAGCAGAGGCCATAGAGCAGTGCTTCTTACCAGCTTGCCTCCCAAGGCCTGCTCAGCCTGCTTTTTTATAGTACCCGGGATCTCCTGCACAACCCGTAGTGGGCTGGGTCCTTCCGCAACAATCATTAAAAAAAAAAAAAAAAGATACACCAATGGGCATGCTCACAGGCCGGCCTAATGCAAGCAATCCTTCATGTGAGAGACTCTCCCCATCTGACTCTAGTTTGTGTCAAGTTGACAGAAAGTAACCAGCATGGTATGAGTAGTATATTGCATGCATTTGGTCTATGAACCAACACAGATGTATGCCTTAGTTTGTTTGAACCATCACATAAGATATGACCCTCAGATAGAAGCAACAGGAATGAATTTTCACCTAATTCTGGAGGCTTCAACACCCTGGTGCCAGCAGGCCTGTTCTCATTTGAGGCCTCTCCTTGGTTAGCATGTAGCCACTTTCTCACTGTGTCTTGGTCTGTGTTTCCTCTTTTATGGACAGTGGCCATATTGGATGAGAGCAAAGCCCAGTAGCTTCATATTAACCCCACTCTGTCTTTTTACCAGCATTCTTCCTAAATACAGTCATATTCTGAAGGGTTTGGACTTCAGCACATGAGCGCCAGGGAGACACAAGCCAGCCCAGACCACATTATTGTTAGCCAATTGCCATGGTGTACATGGGGGCTCCCCCGTAGGGTTGGATGCTCTGTGCATGTAGACGACCACTTAGTGCTCTGTATTATGCTGGGCAGTCTGTGTCCTGAGCATCCTGTGCTCCAGCAGCTCATCTTGTACCTCCACCCTGGCAACTGTCATCTTCCCATCACCTCTCAGACTGGCTTTTTCCAGCATGTCAGGGAGTTGTGATCAGAATGTTGGTCTGTCCATAGGAGCTTCTTTCTCCACTAGTAATGCGTTGTTTGCTCTCAACACATCTTGTTTGTCAAATCATCCCACTGCTATTTGTGGCAAAATGTACTTCCATAGAATTGTCTTAGCACCTCTGTTATCAACACAGAAGAGTTGATTTCTGTGCCTGGCAAGATGGCTCGGGGGTGAAAGCGCTTTCTGTCAAGCCTGGTGACCTGAGTTCTGGTCCCATAATCCCCGTGGTAGCAGGCAAAAACTGACTCCTGCAAATTGCCTTTGACTTCCACACACCTGCTATCACACGTATGTTCACTCACATTCTTACACGCTCTCTCTCTCACATACACAGTGACTAATGAAAAACAATCTTAAAAGAGTTGGTATTCTATCTTCTCAGTTCTGCCATTGATCTGCAGTTCTTTGTGGCCCTGTCATACTGGACACCCAACAAAGCGGTAAAATGGGCATTGCTGGACTTCCAGCTCTGTTCCTTTCTAAGCAGTGTTGGTTATCCAGGAAACTTTGTGCTTCACATCCATTTAGAATCTATGGTAGAATATTCTTTTCAGGTGTGTGACTCTTGTTTGTGCTGCCTTTGTTTAACTCTGGGAAGCTGTGTAACTGTGCCTGTCTAAAATGCCTGGTGGTCCTAATAAAGAGCTCAACGGTCAATAGTAAGGCAGGAAGAAAGGTAGGCAGGGCTGGTAGGTAGGGAGTATAAATAGGATAAACAAGGAAAAGAAGGGCGGGTGGTGGTGGTGCATGCCTTTAATCCCAGCACTCAGGAGGCAGAGGCAGACAGATCTCTGAGTTCGAGGCCAGCCTAGTCTACAGAGTGAGTGTCAGGACAGGCTCCAAAGCTACACAGAGAGACTCTGTCTTGTAAAACAAAGCAAAACAAAGAAAACAAACAAAAAATCAAAACAAGGAATCGAGAAGGAGCAAGGAGAACAAGGGGAGGAGGACGTCAGGGGCTGCCCAGCTAGCCACGGAGTAGGAAGCAAAGTAAGGTGCTCGGAAGTAAGAAAGATGGATAAAAGCCCAGAGGCAAAAGGTAGACCGATAAGCAGTTAAGAAAAAGCTGGCAAAAACCAAGCCAAGCTAAGGCTGGGCGTTCATAAGTAATAAGTCTCCCTGTGTGATTTATTTGGGACCTGGGTGGTAGGCCCCTCAAAAAAGCCGAAATCATACAAGCCTATCAGTTGCTACCAAAAGCTTGCTGGGATTTTGCTAGGTCTGGCTTTGAACTTATAGAATGATTGTGGGGAGAATAACAGGAAAGAACTGTTGAGTCATCTGAACCATGAACATGACATTTCATTTTCGTAGATCTTTAATTTCCATCAGTAATTTACACTTTCATTTTTAAGGATCATTCTTCTTTTGTTAAGTATATTCCCAAATATTTTACTCTCTTTAATTTTATGGTTAATGGAGTTGCATCTTTAAATGTAAAGTTTCTTAGTTCCAGAAGATTTCATATTAGGGTAGCCCTGTTCTCATACTATACAAGCCGAAGCTGTAATTTTCCAAACTGATATTTTTTAAAGCATGTTGAAGGTGAAATCCCAAATATTTTTACAATTATTGCCTTCACTGAATTGAGATTCCTTGTTGGACATAGATTGTGTATTCATTCGTGGCATAAAAGAATAGCTTCATGTAACCACACATACTCCTGGTGCTTTGGATTGGGTTTAGCTGGGTGGTTTTCTAGTCTTGGTGGGTTTTCTGTGTGAACATGGTGACTTGTGTGCTGGGTAGACGCTTCTGCTTCTTGGATTAGCTAGAGGTAGGTTGGGACAAACAGGGCTCCTGAGTCACATTTCCTTCATAGCAACAGGTTGGCCTACACCTGATTTTGTGATGGAGGTGGGTATTGGAGAGACAATACTGGACCCCATGAGACCCAGGCCCTGTTGGTATATTATCTATCACTCTGCCCCATTCTTTTGCTAAAGCGAGCCACAGGCCAGCCTAGATTGAATTGGGGAAGAACAGACCCCATTTCTTAATGGGAAAACCTTGAAAAATCACACACATCTGTATCCTGTGTGGATACAGGAAGGGAATCATTGTGGGGACAGTTTTTCACAGTATTGTGTATCTTGTAGTTTAGTCCATCCAATTAAACCCAAATCTTTTTTTAGGCTTGGGAAGTTACTTATTTCCTGAATCTCAACAGGGACAAGCACCACCCCTCCCAGAAGGGGCTGAGATGACAGCCGTGCGGATGCTGACATTGGATACAGTACAGTTACATTCAAGGTGGAAAATGGAAAGGCTACAACATCTCTCTGTGGCAGTAGCACTCATGTTTCACGGGAAGCATGTGGGGCTTATGTGTTTTGGAGGTCATGCGTTTTTGCCAGAACTGGACACCGCCTTTGTTGAAGTAATTGAAACAAGTCTTTACCTAGTGATGGGTCCAGCTGGTCTCTCTGCCTGCACCGTGGACTGACTTCACCTCTGTGGGGAGAACTTTGATGTTGCCTGGATAAACCTCCTTGGCTCCAGTGGTCTCAGTGAGGGGGTAGCTCTGGCAGGGCTCACAAGGTTTTGGCGAAGCTCAGTCTCCCAGGCTGCGTTTTCATTTCCATGACCCAGTCCATCTTCTGTGCTTGGAGCAATTAATTATGTGGGCTTTGAAGAAAACACGCGGGTCCATTTGAGAACTGGCATTTTGGAGTGATCTGGTATCTTACCATCGATAACTGAGTTTGTGAATTTTGCTCCCAGGTGGTACCAGTGACCCTGGCTGAACCCTTGAGGTCTGGGTGAGTCAGCGTCCAGCCTGGGGGACAGCGTGCATCTTTTGCTTTCCTGCAGGCAGCCTCTGTGGCGATGGTACCAGTGCATGCTACCTGTTGCCTGTCTTTGATACTGTGTTTGTGCGGAGGAAGAACCGTTGCCAAGGCCTGGGAACAGCCATGCTGAGGGACTTCTGTGACACCTTTCCAGAAGAGGAAGCCCTGGGCATCAGTTGCCCGATTTCTTTTGCAATGTACAGAGGTAACCCCCACCTTGTGTCCTGTGTGAGCATTTGGGAAAGGGTGATGGTTAACACATGCACTGAGGTGCCTGAAGCATGAGTCTCAGAGTTGTTCTGGGTCAATGCAGGCTGTGGCTGCTCCTTCAGCTTCAGTATAACCAGGGTCTTCATGTTTGGTTTGCAAAGGGGACCTCTCTGGGCCTGAGAAATGACAACATTTGGAAATGCAGAAGGTGCCCGTCTCACACTCAGTAGAAATCACACTTCACATTTAGAGTTTTGACCTCTTCCTGGCCTTGTGATGTGTGTTCCCATACAGTCTGTGGAGTGGCAACAGCTGGGATTCTGTGGTGTTTTGTCTTCTCGTATTTGGATACAAATATTCTCACATGAAGATCTGGCACACTGATTAAAGAATAGACTTGTCTGTTCTGGGTATTTTTCTTTTCCTTTAAAAAAATGTCTGTATACGAGTGTGTGGGTGGTGTGTGGTGTGTGTGTGTGTGTGTGTGTGTGCTGATGTTCATAGGCATGGTGCTCAGGTGGAGGTCAGAGGGCAATTTTCAGGAATTCATTTCTTCCATGCATCCCAGGGATTGAACTTAGGTCATTGGGCTTGCACAGCAAGTGCCTTTCCCAGCTGAGCCATCTCAGTGGCCCGTTAGCATATGTGCATGCATTGCCACTGATTGCCCACTTAAACTGCTGTTTTGGGGTATAGTGTCACCATAAGTTGAGGAGCATGTGTAATCAGAAACAAATATCTCAGGGGCACACAGAATCCAGGGAACTAACTAACTGCACCAGGGCCTTGCAGTGACTCTCCTTTTTTTGTGTGAAACAGATAGGGCTGCGGATGGCACTTAGTGGTGGGGGCTTGGCTAGTATGAGTGAGGCTCTAGGTTCCACACAGTCCTATGTACCACAGCCCATGAGCTGTGGCAAGGCCAAAGCACTCAGGGGTACTGCAGAAGCCCTCAGCCTCCAGCTCATCTGACGCCCTCACTGTAGGAGAAGGAACCCATCCACCTCTGCTATCACCATGTTGGATGTAGCACAAATAATAAAAACCCAGAGACAGATATTGGGGCTCAGACTGAAGATCAGAAGAGCAAAGCAGAGAGCTCTCATCTCTACCAATGCTCAGACCAAAGGGGTGGTCCTTTTCTCAGATTGCATCTCCAGACTGCACTCCTCACCGAATCTCAGACTACTTTCTGAGGCTGCATTGAGCTTCTTATAGTCTCTCTAGTGCTGGAATTAAAGGTGTGAGCTCTGTTTCTCTTTTAGAATGATTCAATCTCATGCAGCCCGATGTGGCCTTGAACTCACAGAGATCATCTGCTTCTGTTTCCTGAGTCCTGGGATTAAAGTTATATGCCACCACTGCTCAGCTCCTATGGCTGTGGCTAGTTTTGCATTCTCTTTGCATTCTCATCTCCAGGCAAACTTTATTAAATCATAAACAATGTATCACTACAGCTGTGTCTCTCCCCGAGGTCGTTGTTGTCTTTGCACATACATATTCCATATCATCAGGGATGGTGGAGGGTAGAGAATATCACTTAGGACCCGGTCCCTTGTGAAACACACCAACCTCATTTTGGGTCCAGCCTCAGTTCTTGTCTTTCTTTTTTGGCCCCTGAGACAGGGTTTCTTTGTGTAGCCTTGGCTGTCCTGGAGCTTGCTCTGTAGACAAGGCTGGCCTTGAACTCACAGAGATCTGCTTGTCTCTGCCTCCTGAGCCCTGGGATTAAAGGTGTGTGTCACCTTGGCTGGCTCAGTTTCTGTCTTGATGGTTATGAAGCCTTGGGGTTGGGTTTTTATGGCCTTTGTGTTTCTGGGATACAATGGTAGAAGAGGAAACTAGAATAGGGAAGGCCTGCTACTCTCAAGTCATGGAGGGAAGCAGCTGAGCACACACATTCATTCCTTGCCTGGAGGGCTGTTTTAGTTGTTTACTTGTATTTCCCAGCCCCCCCCCCCCCAGTTGTATCAGCCTCTGGAAAGCCTTTCATTTCTTCTGGGAGTGTGTTGGAAGTGCATGGTGTAGTTGGCTTTGGGTTTGAGAGGAATTCTGGTCCCTAGGCAAGCAACCTCTATCACAGGCACATCCTCCATGCTCTCTCACCACACCCTCCCTTCCATCCTGACACTCCTCTGGAGTCCCCTCCCATTGCAGGCCACTTCTGGCTCTGAGGCTGACTTGCCAAGGAGCTAAAGAGCCTTTTGTTCCCCAGGTGAATGTAGACAGCAAAGACATGGCCATTCCAGAGCTCATGCCTCGCCGCCCAGCAAGCCTCCCATCTTTGCCTCAGAGAAAGACCCAGATATGCCACCTTGGGACCATGTGTCTTCTGTTGAGGCCTCAGCCACCCTCCACCCCTAGCAGCCTTTTACTGAGGACAGTTCTGCCCTTCAACTAAGAGCTCTCCCACCCTACACCTTATTCTTTACGCCCCATGCAGCTACACCTCTCACCATGAGTTAAGGACTCCGAGCAAGGAAATGTCTTAGCTGAGCCTGTTGCTTCTTTCAAATCTGCTCAGAGCATTAGGACTCCAGAATGCCAGCCACTGCCCACTGAAGGCCTGGTTGTACTTCAATCCTGGGAGACACCTCTGGAGTGTGGGTGTGTCCTTACTGTATGCACAGCCCCCGTGAGTGATGGGAGAGGGAGCAGGGGCCCAGCCAGCAGAGAAGGGCAGGCTGCCAGCTGGTGCTTAACTCTCCTGGGATCACCACATTCGGAGACACACCTCCAATCATGCATTGACTCCATCATTGGAGCTTTGTGTGTGTGTGTGTGTGTGTGTGTGTGTGTGTGTGTGTGTGTGTGTGTGTGTGTCTTTCCCTGATGAGAAGTTAGGCTGGGCAGGACATGCTCAGCCAATGTTTCCCAGAGTGTTTCCACCTGACAGACAGCACCGTATGTCGTGCATTCCCACATGTGCTTTTGCCCAGAGCTGGCAGGTGGTAGACGAGATCTTGCTTGGTATGTCCTCAGTTACCTGCAGGACCAGAACAGAAGTGGCATTCCCTCTTGTCTGGTGTGGGGAAAACTGCCATGTGAAAATGCTTATCCAGGAAATGTGGATAGTCTGCCAGCCTTCAAGGGCTGACTGGGAGCTGAGGATATGTGGTTTGTGATGGGAGCACTGGGAGGGAGCATGTCAGCTGGATTGTGTCCTGCTCTGCACATTCATGTGGCTACTGAGGTCAAGTAAGATTGAAAGGGTGGGCCTTAACTCAAGTGACTGGCACTGTATTAGTCAGGGTTCTCTAGGGAGAACTTATAGAATGAACACATACATGCATACATACACACACATATGGGATTTATTAGTGTGTGTGTGTGTGTGTGTGTGTGTGTGTGTGTAATTTACCAGAATGGCTTACAGGTGGTGGTCCAGCTAATCCAACAATGGCTGCCTACCTATGAAGGCAGAGTCTCACAGTTGTTTAGTCCATGAGGCTTTCCATATACGCCTGACCCCTGAAGAAGTATGCGCTAATGCTGGTGAAGGAATGTGATTGCTGGTGAGAGAAAGTAGACAAACAGAGCAAGCTTCCTTCTTCCATGTCTTTCTACCAACAGAAAGTGTGGCTCACAATAAAGGTGGTTCCATTGTCCCACTACAAAGGCCTGGTTTTCCCATTTTAAATTATTTAATTAAGGGGGGGGGGACCAAACCTTTACAGGTGTGCCATTTGCATTTTAGTTCCAGATGTAATCAGCTGACAGCCAAGAATATCCATCACAGGCACAGGAAGAGAGACCCTAGGGGTGCACATGACCATGGCCATGAGAGGACACTGAGGAAATACACAGGAAGCTCAGGGGAGAGGTCTCAGGCATCCCAACCAAAGCTACCTTGCCTCCAGAGCCTTGAAAAATCAGCTTGTATTGCCATGGTACTGGCAGCTCATCATGTCTGAGGAGTCTGCTCCCAGAACTCAAACTGGCTATGGCTTGAGGACATTAAAAAAACGCCACTTGCACTGAACATGTCCAGACCTTTCCATTGCCATTGTCCCCTAAGCATCACAGTCTAGTAGCTATTGATGTGGCATCTACATAGCTGAAAGGCATCTAGATGATGGTCCATACACAGGAAGATGTATGTATTGTGACTATAAACACCATGCCTGATTTTATGTAAATGTTGCATCTTTGGATTTGGTGCCCTGGAAACTCAGTGCATGATGGATGGAAGTGGGGTGTGAGATGAACAGGGATGATTCTGGACCCTGGGAAGTTGGTGAAAGGGGTTCTGGTGAAGCAGAGTCAGTATTGAGATGGTGTGTGTGTGGTAGCCACAGAAGGGATGGAAGGGCCGTGTGCAAGGAGCCAGAGAGAGATCACTGGCTGAACTGGGTTGGGCAGGAGTCAGACTCATGGCTTTCCTCTTTTCTTCCCAGTCCTTAGGCAGTTCCTGTTGACCTGTCCAGGTGAGAGAGGGCGCTTGTGGGAGGTAGAGCCCCCAGGGTCCTGGGACCAGCGTGACAACATCTGGCTCAAGGTTTATCTTCATGAGACAAGACTTCAAGATGGTGAGTGGGATGGACATCTCAGAGGTCTAGTCACCTTAGTTTTTCTTCCATTGACTGAGTCTGATTCATGTAGATGTTACTTTTCAAGAAGAGGGGCTGAGATCCAGTTGGGACATATGTTCTGTATTTCTTACCCATGACCATCTCATCTGCATGGCTCCAAAAGTTCTTCCTCAGATCTGGAATTGGAAACCTCAATTAGACTAAAGAGACCACTACAAAGATCAGCTAATTAGATAGACCACTACATAGGTCAACTATTAGATAGATCAGCTAATAGATAGACCACTACATAGACCAACTACTAGATAAGCATCTACAAAGATCATCTTCTGTTCCTCTGTGTGGCTCAGGATCAGATGCACACGCTATTTTGAGGGAGTAGCATGTGCAGCACATGGTTGGGAATTCCAAAGATGACTAAGGTTTGCTGTGATAACCCTGTCTTCAGTCTCCCCTGTGTAGGCTGTGTCCATGGCCATATAGTAATGTTGCATAGTGCTGTGTAAATCATTATGTGTGTACATGAATGTGTGGTACATGTTTGTGAGTTATGTGCATATGTGCACGGGAACCAAGGGTTGATATTGGGTGTCTTCCTTTGTCATTGTCCATTTTAAAGTTTGAGACAAGATCTCTCAGTGAATCTGGCACTCACAGCTAGACTGGCTAGCCATTGAGCAGCACCAAGGACTACTCCCCACCCCCCATGCTGGAGTTACTGAAGTAAGCCACCATGCCTTTTACGAGGGTGCTGAGGATTTGAACTCAGATCCCCATGCTTACACAGCATTCACTTTGCTGACTGAGCCATCTAATGTCAGCCCTGCATCATCTCACTATTATTTTTACTTTTTTTTGTGTGGCTTTCATCCATGTACACAATGCCTTAGGATTATATCCATCCTTCCTAACTTTACTCACATCCACTTTTCAAAATCATTTTAAAAGTTTTGTATTTCATTGCATCCAGTTAGTGCTGCCTGTATGTGTTTGGGTGTGGGGTCAACTGTTGGGGCATAGGCAATCTATAACTGGCCACAAAACAAAAATAACCATCCTTCCTCAGCCACCACCAACTAACCTCCAATGACTTCTCAACTACAGCCCAGGGACCTTGTCAGCTCTTCCTTCGTCCATGCTGGTTTTGGCTGGCTTGATCTGGTACAGTTCAGTTGTGTGAGCACAGGAGGTGACAGCCATCTTTATCCTTTTAAATGGCAGAGCTGTGATTCCCTGTAGGGACACTTCGTCTCCTGTTGACCCTGCTGGCCTTAGTTCTCTGTTGGCTCCAGACAATGCCCTGGCTTGTCAGTGAGGTTTGGATAGAGGGATCTTTCAAGGAGCAAGGTAGGGTTTTGAGGGCAGGTACCCCAGGGGAGGCAGGACCTTCAGATGGCCAGACGGGAATGCAAACATGCTTATCCCAGGATTTAAAGGTGGCTTTTCTGACTCCCACATGGGGAAGATCTCACTTTACAGTGCAGGATGGGGCTTAGGTGCCTGGACATTTCACCAACAGGTGCCACTTGTCTCCAGGAGACAAGCTTCCAACAGTTTAGATGTACTGCCCTCGGTTAAAGTAGTAGCCCCGCTCCTCCATGATGTGGGCATCCATCACACTCATCAGGATGTTTCTGCAGAAGCAGGTGAGGTAGCTCATTAGGGGCGGGTGGGCCAGAGGTGTAGGCTGCCTTTCTGCATGGGTGACTAACTTAACTCAGGTGGTGACAGGCAAGTGCCTGAGACCTTATTGATGGTAATAGTGATAGGTCTTGCCTTAATGGCTCCCCTCAGCTGTAAGGCTTAATGGGCCCTTACAGCTATTTGTGAGGGGAAGGAGTGCCAGGGAAGGAGGCTGGCGGGTCTGCGACTGTGATCCTAATGAGGCCGTTAAGTGGCTTGCCCTGTGGCATTGTGTTAGGAAGGAAAGGAAGCCAGCCTGTGCCCCTGGGCATGGCGCTGGCCATCAGCACAGGTTTATAGCTTCACAAATGAAGGTCCACATCTGTGCTTAGGCTCATGCCACTGTTCCTTAGCTGGGAGTGGAAAAAGCAAATGCATGTCGGAATGTGAAAATTGCCTGGCCAGAGGGGTTGGGTGGGGAGGAGGATGCTTTGTCCTAGTTGGAGAGATGACTTCCTGATGGATAATCCCACCGGGGGTTTATTTCAAGAGCTGGGAGTCTGTGTGGTCTGTCTGAAGTAAGCTGGTCTAGAAATCGGATGCCAAACCTGTCACTTTAATCCACTCTGAGGGTCACCAACTCCCACTTCCAAACAGCAAATGAGAGGATCTTCAGAGACTGTTCCAGAAGTCTGTTGCAGGAACAAGAGCCATTGCTATAATTAGGTTACAATTAGATTACTCAAATTCTGTAATTTTTGAGAAAAAAAATTAAGGGTCTTTTCATCCTTAAAACCCTGGTTTGTTTCCAGTGTTACCCTCAGGGTTCCCAGGCAGTTATTTTAGACCAGTGGTTGTCAACCTTCCTAATGCTGTGGCCCCTAAGTACAGTTCCTCATGTTGTGGTGACCCCAACCATAACATTATTTTCTTGCTACTGCATAACTGTAATTCTGTTACTGTTATGAGTGGTAAGTATCTGATATTCAGCCCCCAAAGGGATCTTGATCCATAGATTGAGAAGCTCTGATTTAGGGGTCCCCACCACTTTGTGTGTGATGGAAATGGATGTGTAAGTAGTCCATGGCTTCTGACTTTGGAGAAGCCATGAAAAGACACATTTCAAAGGGAGAGCCCCTGGGTTCCCTGCAAATGCTTGAGAACCTGTGTGCGAAGTGCCTTCATTTGTGGGCTTTTTAAAGTCTGTACAGCCCTGGCAGCTGATAACATCTGTAGCTTGTAATGACCCTGGGGATTTTTGGATTTTTTCAGACGCTTTGAGAGACGAAGTTTGTGGGAAATGCATTTTCCCCCTGTTCTCAGTTACATGGGAAACCTTTGAAACTTGACCGATAGGATCATAATTCCTTCTGATGTGATCTCCCCATCAGTCTGCACATGCCTGAAGTCTCTTTACTAGAGGGGATGAAATTGAATATGTCAACAAGGGAATGTTCTTTTGCAAAAAAGAAAAAAAAATGTTACTGGAGGTGGGAAATCATTGCAAATGTCTCAAAAATTATTTTTCCTTCTAAAGGGTCACAATTTTCTTTTTCCAGATGCACTTATCATCCACAGGAAAAATGATTTCTTTAACTTACACTTATCTATAAAGCAGAAATAAGAAAGCTAGATGGATTATGTATATGGAGAGGTGAATAATTTGAGATGGAAAGGCAGGCCTGCTTTTCTAAGTTGGAGGGCAAGCAAACTGGAGCCATGGTCTTGTTCTAGTTTGCTCTCATTAGCCACACATTGCATAATACAGTAGCAACAGCAATTTTATGATGATCCAGTATGCCTGGGAGTGTGGAGAGCCAAAGCAACCTGCTGAGGTGATTTTTGCTGAATGCTGTTCTTTGGCAGGTTTTATGGCTCCCTCTTGTGGCCATTGTTCTGCATCGCCGTCCTGAAATGCAGCAGTTGCTTGTCTTTGATGTACCTGAATATCTGGTTCCCCAGATTCGTACCTTCCCAACTAGTGTATAAAAATTATGCTTGAGACCCATATCATGAGAGAGAGCCTGGAGGCCCAGGACCCAGAGGCAAGGCTATCCTAGAGACATAGGATAGAACCAAATAGGATTGGCAAAAGCAAAACCAAACCAAACCAAACCAACAACAAAAAAACCAACCTGCCCAAATTGTGCCCCCCCCCCCCAATCTGTTAAGCTCCTAGATTGGTGCCTATAGCCCAATAGTTACCATAGAGCCTACAGGTGCAGGCCCACAGCCAACCATTAGGCAGAGTTTGGGGAATCCAGTGGAGGGGGGGGGGATTGTAGGACCCGGTGTATCAAGGGCACCACAAAAAAACCCCCACACAATCAACTGACCAGGGCTCACAGGGACTGAACTGACAACCAGAGAACCTGCATGGGACTGACCTAGGCTCTCTGCATGTATGTCACAGTTGTGTAGCTTGGTCTTCTTGTGTGACCTCTAACAGTGAGAGCAGGGCAGTCTCTGACTTTTGGGACCCTTTCCTCCTACTCAGTCGAGCCTTAATAGAGGAGATGCCAGGCTCACTGCAAGCATGGCTTGTTGACATCATGGGAGATCTGCCCTTTTCTGAAGAGAAGCAGAGGAGGAGTGAAAGGGAGGTGAGGGGGGACTGGAAGGGAGGAGGGGGAGGGGAAATAGCGGTCAGGATGTAAAAACAACAGTGAAAACCTATGGGGCATTAATTGGTTAGGAATGAAATACAAGTAAGCATTTGATTTTTGCTAGCACAAGTTATCTCGTAGCACATAAAAATATCAGAACTTGAAGATGTATTCATCTGCCCCATCCACCCAGCCATTGTTTCATGGGTTCTTCCATCTGGTAACAGTTCACCGTGCAGACAGGCACTTTCTTAGGCATTAGAGAGTACAGGACAGGGAAGGAAGCCACCCTTTCCTAATTGCTGCTGACTTGGCAGCAAGTGGGGGGTGGGGCATTTGGTTAGCTGTGAGTATTGGCAAGAGTGAGCAGAGAGGACCTGGGAAGATACTCGGATAAACAAATCCCCCAACCACTTGCAGCTGGGAAATGCTTGAATAGCGCCACCATTTATACACACACACACACACACACACACACACACACACACACACACACATATATATATATGAATGAGACAGACTCAAGTATCTCAGGCTGGTCTTGAACTTGCTACGCTTCTGGAGAGGAACTTGAACTTCTGCCTTCTACCCACTCCTGTTGAATACTGGGATTCCAGGTGTACACCACCACACATGGTTTGTGCGATGATCGGGGTGCATGCTCCGCATTCTCCTAGCTGAGCTGCATCGCCAGCCCTGAGCCTCCTGCCACTTTGTTCCTTTGCACCATGGAGCTCTCCACACAGGAGTACACTCCAGCCAAAGCCAAAGTGGGGGTTAAAAGGGTGGAATGGGGGCCCCAGCCTCAGTGTGTTGGAGGGGTCCTGAGTGGGAGCCAGCCCCATTGTTTATCCTCTTCTCTTCTTAGGGACCACAGTGCACCCTGAATCTTCTGAAGATGGCACAAATACTCCCAGGCAGCCTTTTCAGGGTGTTGGACCCACACAGTTTGATCATGGAGAAATCCGTAAGGTACAGTATTGACATGTTATTCCACAGTCTTCCTGTCTCCCTAGCGGCCACCTTGCTTTTTTTTAGTGACTGCCTGGCAGCTCCTTGGACACCCAGGCTGTGGGCTCCTCTTTGGCAGAGGGCCATGCTGATGCTGACTAATACTGAAAATCTCCTTATCTTGGGATAGAAGAAGGAAGGGGGTAAGGAATCTTTATAATTAGACTTTTTTGTGGTCCTCTCTCTCAGCTGGATGAGCATTCATGAAACCAGAAGGAAACTGGCCCCTGAAAAATATGAATTGAAATTTGGCCATAGACCAGAACAAAAGCAAGGTGAATCCCCCTTGCTCCTTCCCTCCTGCCTCCCCAGTCTGGATGCTAGAAAGAAAATGGTGGTATTAGGTCTTTGTGTCCTTCAGAGTGACTGGAGTCTTGGGGAGGGGAGGAGGAAGGTTACAGAGTCCTTCTGAGTACCTCGGTGCTCAATTATTTGATAAGATTTGGAGTCTTTCCTGGAGCCAGCACCGGGTCTTTGCTCTCAAATCCTTAAGGAGTCAACTCTAAAACCAAACTTTTGTACATGAGAAGCAACACAGCTCCTGTTTGGTGGATTGTTTGGAGGTAGGAGATTTCACAGAGGCATGAGCTATTGTACTAATTCTTTGACCAGCCCTTGCTACCTGGCAGAAAGGGGCTCTTGTTGTTCTTGGCTTGTGACAGAATGCTGGGCTATCTTAGGGCTCTGCTAGGGCTCCGAGCAGAGGCTGTAGTAGTTGGCCTCGTCTGGTCACTAAGTTTTAAAATTTCCTTTTAGAGGAAGGGACAGGAGTTCTGGAGTATCTGAATGTATGCTTGTATGTCTGGCGATGTCTGCACACTCAGAGGCAGAATACCAACTTAAAAAATATTCTGGTGCTGGGTGATGCTGGCATACACCTTTAATTCCAGCACTCCGGAGGCAGAGGCAGGTGGATCTCTGATTTTGAGGCCAGCCTGGTCTATAGAGTGAGTTCCAGGCCAGTCAGGGATACACAGAGAAACCCTGTTGGAAAATATAAAAAACAATTACATTGGCATAAATGACTCATACTCAGTGAGTTTTATTATAATATTTCTCAGTATATGATGTATTTTGATCACAGTCATTGTCCTGTTATCCTCTGTGCTACTGTCCCCTCTCACTGGCTCTCCTGCTTTTCCTGATTGGCCCTCCTTTCACCTTCCTGCGACACCACTGAAGGATGTCTCATCCCCTTCCTTCAACCAGTAGCTGCCTATAAATCCTGGGGGGGGGGCGGTGGTCATGAGCCCTTCTGCTGCCATCACTGGCTGTTGAGAGCCCCAGTCTTCTGTAGTTTCTGCATAGGCACTCAGAGCTGCTGAATAGAGTGCAATGGCCACGTCTTGCCTGGAAGACATCATCCCACTGCACTCCACCTCCTCCTCCTGACTGATACATTCTTTTCCATGTTGTGAGTCCTGGAGAGGTGGTAGGATGTCACATTGGAGGCTGAGAACACATCTGCCACTCACTCTCTGCATGTTGACCGCTTGCAAGTCTGTGGTTATCACCTACTACTGCAAGGTGAAGATTTTCCTGAGCAAAGCTAGCAGTGGCATCCTATGTGTAATTTAACAGGCACAGCATGCCCATTTAATAAAGCAATTGCAGTAGCTCTGCCACTGGGGCCTCTGACCCACCCTGGCCATACTTTTGAGCAGGCCTCCAGTACAAGATGTGAATTTGCTCCTGTAGGGCAGGCCTCATAGCCAGCTATAAAGCAGCTGGCCATAACAGACTTGGGGCCATCCAGCCTGGTCCGTCAGTGGTGTAGCTTGTAGAATACCCATATGGTGTAGCCTATCCCTAGCACTGGAATTTTAATCCAATAACCTGTGGCTTCTACGAGCAGCTTTTCTCAAACAGCATAACCCAGTTTAAGCTAGGCCTGGGATGTAGCTCAGTTGGTCGATTCTTGCCTAGCATGCATGAAGCTCTATATAAACTGAGTATGGTTGTTCACACCTGGAATCCAAACCCTAAGGAAGAAGAGACAGGAAGATCAGGTCGTTTTTAGCTTCATGGAGAGTTCGCAAGCAAGCAGACAGGCAAACAACACACATACTGCCATCCACCTTTCAGCGTATAGTTGTGCCTTGGCGTCTATAGAAGTTGGTTTCAGGACCCTACTTGGAAGCTGTAAGTTGGATGCTCAAGTCCTCTATGCAAAATAGTGTTCCTGTTTTACTCATCCTCCCAAACACATGACATCATCTCTCAACAACCTGGGTACCCAGTGTGGTATAAATATCACATCAATTGTTCAGTATTGTACATGATAATGCCGTGAGAAGTATGGCACGCTCAGGATGGCCTGAGTGGTTTTAGAGTATTCTGACTTGTGCTTAACTGAACTTGTTCATCCCTCACACTTTGGGGCTGACTACTCAGCTTCCTTGTTCTGCTCTAACCTTACTCAAATCTTCTTGACTGGGCTGTCCTTTGGGTCCATCCGGTTAACATGTGCACCCATGACAAAATGTCATTTCCCTGTGGCTAGCTGCTATGTTCGAACATAGCTTATCCCTTCCGATCTCAGCATGAAGTATAGGGATAAGCCAGGTCACCCCAGGCCCTTGGTGTCTAGCACTGTTCAGGATGACCTCATCACAGTGTTTGAGATGAATGCCTTTGGCTTACTTTCTGATTTCAGGAGTGGATCACTGGAGGACAGGAGACACAGAATGACCAAGAATGTGTCAAAAGAGAGGAGGATTCTGGGATGTTCCTGAGACCCTCCTGGGATGAGACAGAGGATAGGGGAGCCAAGAGGACAGTGGCAGTCACTGGGCTGGTTGGTGAGCCATGGCAGAAGCATGTACGGGAAGCTCCAAACTCCTCAGAGGTTCATCTGGTCTCACCGGCATCAGAGCCTGAGGGTTTCATGTGGTCCTGCTAGTCTCTGGTATTGGATGGTGTCCATGGGTCCCGCCTGCCTCTGTTTCCCTCATAGGCTCTGGGATAAGGGTGTCTGAAGAAGTGCTCTGGTAAGCCAAATGCAACTGTTGGCAAATCCAAGACCCTAGAAGCTTACTTGTTAAAAGTAACATGTTTTCCACTCCCCAGGAGTATGGTATGCATGGGACCATGTGAAGGAGTCCCTTAGTGGAAATAGACTCAGAGAATTGCCATGGTACCCATCCATCATACACATTCATCTCCGTTGTAACCTCAGAACTCAACGCCAGAGGTTTTCAGGGAGACAAGTTCCTTCTCTGGGACTTGTCAGTCACTTCAGAACTCCTTGAGGGCAAACACCAGGGGTGCATAATGTCCACTATTCCAGGGCCAGATGGTGCCCACTGTGGGCCTTGGGCTATTTCTGGCCCAATATAGTGCCTGTGCTGCCTTCAATGCTATTGGATTCAGCTGTCTGAACATGAGGTAGGATTTCTGCCAGAGAAAGCTGATCCTGGTACTTTATGTTTCCTGAATGGTTAAAAGACACGTGCTGTGGGACCTCAGTTACTTATCTATTCATCAAAGCACCCATCTGCTCATTTCTAGTACATGAATATATACATACACACAGTTCTCCTTTTCTCTCTCTCCTGCTTCCTTCATCTCTTCTCTTCCTCTCTTCCTCTTCCTCTATCCATTTATATTTGTCTACTTAATTTATATCTCTCTAATTCCCAATTCACCTCTATATCTTCTGCCAGTCTGTCCTCCCTTACTTCCGTCCAACTCTCCATCCATCCATCCACCCTCCCATCCACCCAGTGTGCTTTCTGTTGGACAAGCTCTGTGTTGTGCTTGGGAGATGTAACTGAGGCCTGGTCTAAGCCCCAGGGAGCTTTCTTTGTCTGGAGGGATGCTCTTGAGTATCCACTGTAGTGTTCATCCCTCTTATGCTCACTGCAAAGAGGGAGGGCCCAACTGTGAGGAAGCAATAGCACTTGCAGCTCCTTGCAGAAACACCATGAGGACCCCATTTGCATGTGGGATCTGTGAAGACTGAAGAAATGGACTGAGCATCAGAGAGGTGCTTGGTGTGGGACCCCACACATCCTTTAACACATGGTTCGTGTGCTGTGAAGATTTGTTTTCTGTTTAGATGAAAGTTAACCCATTAAGTATCTCTGGGACTTAATAAAGGTGTTATTCAATAAAAACCATGTATGTATTAACAGTTTCATTTTGAGACTTTCAAGGTGACCACAGTGTTATAGGAGATTCTCTGGCCCAGAGCAGCACCCACCATGACAGGGCACGGCACTGGGGTGCTGCAAGGTTCCTTCTGTACAGTGTCCTAAGGATCTCTTGCTTGTATCAATGTGTGGTGAGCTGATTTATGAAAGATCATAAAACCTGCTTATTACTCAGTTTCTCTATGTACTTACCTCCCCACCCCCCACTTTGAGACAGGGTCTTGCTGTGTAACCCAGGCTACATAAACTTGCCATCTTTCCCTCTTAATCTCCATAGGGCTGGGACGACAGTGCCTGGAGTGTTCCTATTATTTTTAAACAGCTGTTGCTAATATAATTTACAGACTGTAAAAGTGCTGTCAGCCACCACCCCAATGATTCCCAAAGCCTGCTGTCAGTTACCCTCTCCCTTTGCACTATGTTACCATCCCTAGGTATCCTCAGGATGGCATCACCATCCACCTACCTTCCCTGGCTACAGACTTGCTTGCTCTGAACATGTCATATGACTGGAGTCATATATTAGCAGCCATTGGCAACTAACTTTATTCACTTAGCATGAGGATCTTCAGAGGTCTACAGTACAGCATGCATCAGCATTCCTTTCCTTTTTCATGACTGAATAATACTCCACCACATGGATATCTATCTATCTATCTATCTATCTATCTATCTATCTATCTATCTATCTATCTATCGTGTTGATTTGTTTATCCACCTACCAGCTGATGGGCTTTGGGACTGAGTTCTACATTTGGCTGGAACAATAATTATAAGATTATTGATTTGAATTTGCAGTTCCTCGATTGCCAAGGAACTCCTATTGCTGAGGCACCAGCCTCAAGAACTGAGTGACTACTGGGTTCTGAGCTCTTAACTGTTATCCTGCTGTTGTTTCTACCTAAAGCTGACCTACTAAATTATTCTGTAATTTATCTATTTGTCTGTCTTCCTATCTATCATCTATTTATCTGTCATCTATCATTTATCTATCATCTATCTATCTATCATCTATATCTATCATCCATTTATCTGTCATATCTATCATCTATATCTACCTGTCTATCGTCTATTTATCTGTCATCTATCATCTATATCTATCTACTATCATCCATTTATCTGTTATATCTATCATCCATATCTATCTATCATCTATTTATCTGTCATCTATCATCCATTTATCTGTCATATCTGTCATCTATATCTATCGTGTATCTGTCATCTATCATCCATTTATCTGTCATATCTATCATTTATATCTATTGTCTATCTGTCACTGGTCATCTATCTGTCTACCTATCTATCACCTATTTATCTGTCATCTATCTATCTATCTATCTATCTATCTATCTATCTATCTATCTGGTGGTTTGAATGAGGGACCCCCCCCCATAGGTTCATATATTTGAATGTTAGGTCCCCAGTTAGTGAAACTCTTTGGGAGGAGTTAGGAGGTATGTCCTTGCTGGGGTAGGCATGGCTTTGATGGAGGAAGTGTGTCACTGGGGATGGGGTGGGGTGGGGTTTAAAGTTTGAAAAGCCCATGTCAAGTCCAAGTCTCTCCACCTGCTGCCTGTGTATCAGGATATAAAGCTCTCAACTACTTTTCTAGTATCAGGCCTGCCTACCTGCCATCCCATTCCACATCATGATGATAGTGAAGCTATAAGCAAGCTCCCAGTTAAAGCTTTGTTGTATAAGTTGCCTTGGTCATGGTGTCTCATGGCAGCAATAAGATGATACCAGGAATGGGTATTGCTGTGACAATCCTGACTGTGCTATTGATTGGAGGAATGTAGACTACTTTGGGACTTTGAATGCTTTAAGCATGCCTTAGGGGACCATCCTAGAAGGAGTGTGGAGGATAATAGTGCTTAGTATGATGTGAACTATGAAGGCCCATCTCAACAAGTTCCTGGGGAAAGAAATATTAGCAAGTGGCACAGAGAGCATTCTTGTGATAATTTGGCAAAGAGTGTGGCTACTTTTTGTCCTTGTTTTTAAAAATTTTCCTGAACATAGTTGAAGAGTTTTGTATTAATGCCATTGGCAGAGGAGATTTCAAGACAGTCTAGTATTGACTGTATCGTGTGGTAACTAGTGGCCACTCTTATACAATGAAAAAGAGTGAGCAGGCAAAGAGAAACACAGAATGTACAGTTTGAGGAGAAAGAGAACATCAAGAAATATAATGTCAGAGACAAGGAGTTCCAAGAAAGCCTTGTTTCAAAATGGACTAGGGAGAGTGGTAACTCAGGGCAGGACCCGCCCAATTAATCCTGCAACCTGTGTCAGAAAAGGCCGAGGAATTTCCTAGACTTAAGTAACAACAGAAAACACGTGCAAATGAAAATCAAAGGGTTGGGGGAAGGTTGCAGCCCCAGGAAGCTGAACTCAACAGCTTTGGCCACAAGCTCTGGCTTTCTCACAGAATATACAGGAAAGGGAATGTGAACCCTTTCTCTGTGGCTAGAAAAAGCTGCAGAGGCCAGATGTGAGGCAGGGGTGACCCAAAGAGATGATTTCCTGAAGCTGTGAAGGTAATGCCTGGGTTACAGTGAAGACTCCAAGATGTTGGAGATGCTGGAACCGTGGATACCTGCCACGGAAAGCTGCAAACAGGGTGGAACCAGCCCAAGAGAGAGAAGTGTGATGTGGCCAATGAAACTGGAAGGAGTTGGAGATCTGAAGAGCATTTTGACATCAGACATGAAGAGGCAGAGTTTGGAGTTTGCCCAGCTGGGTTTCAGTCTTGCTTTGGTCCAGTATTTCCTCACTCTGCCCCCCTTTCCTCCCTTTTGAAATAGTAATGCATATTCTGTGTCACTGTATGTTGGAAGTAGTAATTTGCTTTTTGATTTTACAGGGGATTACAATTAAGAGATCACCTTGAGTCTCAGAAGAGACTTTGGACTTTAAAACATGTTGAGATTGATAGACTATGGGGACTTTTGAACTTGGACTGAATGCATTTTGCATTATGACTATAAGCCTATGTGGGACCAGGGAGCGGAATGTGGTAGGTTGAATGAGAATGGCCCCCATAGGCTCATTTGTTTGAATGCTTCGTTTCCAGTTAGTGGAATTGCTTGGGAAGGGTTAATAAAGTGTGGCTGTGTTGGAGGAGGTGTGCCACTGTGGTGTGCTTTGAGGTTTTAAAAGCCCGTGCCAGGTCCAGTGTCTCTACCTACTGATTACGGCTACTTCTCCAGCACCATGTCTGCCTGCCTCTCCCCTTGTATGTGTTGCCTTGGTCATGGTGTCTCTTCACAGTCATAGAACACTAAGATGGTGTACGTGTATGTGTACACACAAATCACACCCATTGGTTATGTTCTTTTTGAGAACTCTGACTTACACATCCTGTTTACAGGAGACACTGGTCCGCAGCTGGAAAGTACTCCCCCCCCCCCCAAACATGGGGTAGGCAGTGGAACCCAGGGTCTCACTAATGTCTACTCTTGCAGATGGAGTTTTAAATTAGGTCCTTGAACTTTTGTTTGAGAAGCTGTGTGTATTAGTCAGGGTTCCCTAGAAAAACAAAACTTAGAATTCCTCTCTATATAGAAAAACAATTTATTAGAATGACTCACAGGCTATGGTATAGCTAATCCAACAGTGGCTGTTTATGAACACAAGGTCTAAAAGTCCAGTACTTCAGTCCATGAGTTTTGGTGTCTCAGCTGGCCTTCAGTATATGCTGGAATCCTGAAGGTGTAGGCTTTAATGCTAGTGAAGGAATGGGCTTGCCAGTAAGTGAGAGCAAGTAGGCAAAGAGAGCAAGCTTTGCTTTGGGTCCCTTGAAACCCTCAGGCAGTCCTCTTCAGAGCTCCGGGCCACTTCTGGGGTGCGGTCTTCTCCCAGGACTTCAGGTAAGCTGGTGTTAGCTGACACCTGTTTGGTGCTATGCTGGTGTCCTGCACACAGAGGGCCTCAGGAGCTCTAAACACTTAGTCCAACCCTGGGATAAGGGCAAGGCTCAAGTAACATCTTACAAGGTGACCTTGGGACACCAGCCCCAGGCCGGAGACTGCCAGCTTTCACTGATAAGAATCCTTAGACTTCTCTGCTTGGGAGGTGTCCTGGAGAAGTCAGACTCAGCAACATTTGAATTTCACTTTCCTCCAAACACTAGTGGGCTTTATCTCTCATACAAAAACCAAGCAGGGCACTCCTGGGCTCCTGGGGTCCCGAAGCAATACTTGTAGTTGCCACACGACGATGGCAGCCTCGCACAAACCAAGGCCTCCTGGCACACACTGGGGCTCTCTCATCCGTGTCTTGCAAAGTCCCAGGAGACCCTCCCCACCCTTCTCACCAGGCAAGCGCACTTATAACACTATGTACTCACCCAGGGGAAGAAAGAGAGCGCCTGAGTGTTTGTGTATGGTGCAACAAAACACATTTGTTTTTAGAAGCAGCCAGGCTGTGTCACCCCGTTTCCCAGATTTGAGTGATGTGACAGACATAGTGACGAGAGAAAACATAGCAAACGGGGCCTTCGGTAGTGGCCGCTTCTCGTCCTCCTTCCTCCTGGACTCCTTTCTCCTTCCTCCACTTTCTTCTTTCCCCTGCACCCTTCCTTCTCTCTCTGATAGCAATATTAAGCATGTATGCGGCGTACAGATCTCACAGTTCTGTGATTTTGTCACTAACTTCATACACTTGGCAATTAGTAAATTCCTTCGCAAATCCCCCAAAGCGCCAGCGGCGCCCCCTGTGGGAGGCTGCTTGCTTCTCCATCCTGGATGCACACAGCTGGGGGAACCCTTCCTGTTCCTCATGCAGCTCCTAGGTCCCACGCCTCTCTGTGCATCGCATCGAGCTTGGCCGTGGCAGTTTCCAGTAGGGAAGGAACTGGCAGTCAGAGGGGTTCGCATCCCCCTGGGATTTGGTTTAGGGTTCTTTTCTCTGGACCATCTCACAATGTCTTTTAGGTTTGTTTGTTTATTTATTTATTTATT